ATTTTCAAGAGTCCATAAGGGATAAGATGTTCTTTGACTTCCTAAGATTGTAACAACACAGCATGACAGTTGTGCAATACGAGTCAAAATTTGATGAACTCTCTTGCTTTGCCACGAAGTTAGTTTCTACTGATGCAAAGAAGGTCAAGCGATTTGAACAAGGTCTTAAGTCACCTATCCGAGGTGCCTCATAGCTCATCAACTAAGAAACTAGTGGAACAAGCCATGCTAGTAGAAAGAAACTTGGAAGATACCCAAAATATCAACGACCAGAGNTTATCAACTAAGAAACTATAAGAAACTAGTGGAACAAGCCATGCTAGTAGAAAGAAACTTGGAAGATACCCAAAATATTAGAAGTCGTTAGCATGGCAAAGGAAGTCAAATAGGAAATAGTGGCGATGGTAATCACCACCAAAGAATGACCCATATCAACGGCCAGAGCAAGGTACCGATGGAAAAAAGGGTCAAAGATAAAGTTCTGAAAATTGGAACAGAACATCTAATGATACGAAACAATGTTTTGGGTGTGGGCAAACATGACATTATAAGAATCAGTGTCCCTTCACGTCTTCTCAAGAGTCAACTAATCAAGGCTCTTATCAACAATTTAATCAATATCATCCACAACAATGCCCTTACCCTACTCAAGCGGCAAGATCAACAACTCAAGTAAGACCTTCACAGTCATTTTCAAAACAGGCACAACATAAAAAGACAGGTGACTAACCATCAAAAGTATTATTTTATTATATTTAATATTAGTTAATTGCATATTATTTGTGATTAAATGTGTTAGATTCCGTAATTTTTTAGTTTGATACTTTTTCTAGTTGTTTGATTTCGCAGGTAAATTGGATGATTTAAAGTAATAATAGATAAGAGAAGTCCAACAATCACTAGATGCAGAATCACAATTAATAAGGATTGAAGAGTTAAGATTAAGGTAAAAAAAATTGAAGATAAGGCAACAATTTATCTCTTATAAGAGTCCAAATTAGAAGAAAATTCATTTAAAGTTGAATTAGAAAAGTATTCTAGAAGATAAGGTATTGACACATCTTCAGTATTGTGGTCATATTGTTTACCCCGATATTCGATTGACTTTATTTACATGGGGTTGAAAAAAAAGACTTTAAAAGCTACAAAAGTGTATTTCACAAAAATTTCATGAATCAGCAGTCAAGCTCGAAATCTAGGCATATTTTGTACTCGTGCCCCCAAGATTTTATGCACGAGATTTGACTTCAAAGGACTTCTTTTTGAAAAGAAATTCCTCCCAAGCCAACCCTAGATCTTCTACCTATACTTAAGATATATTTTAGTATAAACAAAGGCTCTCAGCTATTGAGAGGGAATTATTATTATTATCTTTCCATCTTTTCTTTTATAGTTTTTGTTCGAGTTCTATGGCTTGCTAAAAGCCCAACTAAGGCTAGAGAAGATATTTTCAATAAAGCACAATATTATTTTTGATTCAATGTTCTTTTTAATGCAAGATTTATTTTTTTAATTTAATTCTTGTCTTTTAGTAAAATTTTCACTCTGTCTAATTTCTTGATTCGTTGAGACACGTACATCGAATGCTTGAAATTTCCTACGAGTCAAACAACTGGTTATTTCATACTTGAATTAATCAATTAGAATTTCTCATAAGATAGTTCATTTATTATTTGCAATAAAATTAGAATTTATCTATTGGAAAGCTTGATTTATTGTAGACTTCGAGTACGGTGAATGTTTGTGATTTCCAAGAAAATTTTTTATATTTATTCAGATAATTTATTAATTATACCTTTGATTTTTTCATATTATCACCACTAAATATTCCGACTGAGATCACTCATCAGCTGATTCTCAATTGAGTTCAAAAATTAGATCATTAATAATTGTTGTGTAGATTTGAAAGGGTATTCTTGATGCTTTAGTATTTTCAATTTTCTATTTTTAATCAAACAAAAAAAAATTTCCAAATAATTTTCAAATCAAAATTGCTTTTATTTTTTCCTTGCGTTTTAAGTTTTACCAATTTCTTATGGTTCAACCTCGGACAATTGAAAAATTTATTACTTCACACAACCTACACTTGAGTGATCAATTCTAAAGTGATAGCAACAAAAAGTAGAATAGTAGTTACCAAAGGCCAATCTCGAATCTATGCAATGACTACACCAGATAACAATGCCTTTAACGAAATGATTGAAGGTATCATTCTTCTTTATAATTCTTGGACTTGTTTTATTGTTTGATCTAGGGGTAACCCATTCTTTTATTTGCACTTCAAATGTTATTGCATTAGGGTTAGAATTTGAACCTTTGGGTCACACATTGTGTATAAACCTACCTACGGGGGATTGCTTGAAAACTGCTAACGTATGCAGGAATTGTGTGATCCGAATTAAGGAGCGAGTTGATTATGGACTTAGTTGCCTTAAAGATAATTGGATATGAGATAATTTTTGGGATAGACCTATTGTCTTCATATCATGGATTATTACAGTAAGAAACTCATGTTTCATAAGTCAAGAGATATAGAATTCAAATTCATAGGTGAACGTCACTCGTCGCATCCATTCCCTATAAGGAACAAAGGTAGTTTGGAGTTCCTTGTCAATTTAATTGTGGAAAAATTGGGTGAGACCTCATCTAATATCATCTTGGTGGTGTGCGACTTTCTTGACGTATTTCCCGACGAATTTCCTGGACTACCCACACAAAGAGAGATAGAATTTACTATTGAGGTATACCCTGGTACTAAACCAATTTCTATTGCCCCTCACCGTATAGCACCATTAGAGTTGAAAGAATTAAGGAAACCGTTAGATGAACTTGTGGCTATTGGATTCAATCAGATAAGTACTTCGCATTGGGGTGCTCATGTACTCTTTGTGAAAAAGAAGGATAATATGTTGAGACTCTATATTGACTATCAAAAGTTGAATTGGGTGACGACAAAGAACAAGTGTTCTCTACCACATATTGATGATGTATTTGATCAACTCAGAAGTTCTCATTGCTATTCCAAAATTAATCTTCGAATTGGATACCACCAACTGAGAATTAGTGAGGAGGATATGAACAACTTTTCGGACTCGATATGAACACTTTGAATTCTTGGTGATGCTATTTGGACAAACAAATGCACATACAATTTTCATGGATATGATGCACCGGGTATTCAGGCCCTATCTTGATTAGTTTGTAACTGTTTTCATAGATGATATTATCATTTATTCAAAGTCACATAAGGAGCATGTACAATATCTTCGCCAAGTGCTACAAACATTAAGGGAACACAAGTTTTATGCCAAGACAAGTATGTGCGAGTTCTGGATGAAGGAAGTCCAATTTCTTGGGCATATAGTATCCGAAGGAGTGGTAGTGGATCCAACTAAGATAAAGGTAGTAATGAATTGAGATCAACCTAAGAATGCAACCGAAGTTCAAAGTTTTCTGAGATTTGAAGGGTACTATCAAAGGTTTGTGGAAGAATTTTTCAGAATAGCTATGGACATGACCTGACTCATCCGAAAAGGAGAAAAATTTGAGTGAACAAAGGAAGTGAACATGCATTTAACATCTTAAAGGAAAAGCTAACCACGACACCTATTCTTACTATACCCAAAAGTGATGTTGGATACGATGTTTATACAAATACATCATTACAAGGACTTGTGTGTGTGTTAATTCAAAGTAGTAAGGCGGTTGCTTATGGATCAAGACAACTAAAGGTTCATGAATGAAACTATACCACACACGATTTGGAATGGCAGTTGTTGTCTTTACTCTAAAGTTATGATGTTGTTATCTGTATGGGAAAAAATTCTAGATTTACTCGAATCACAAAAGTCTCAAGTATATATTCACTCAAAAAGACTTGAATCTCCGACAACAACGCTGGATAGAGTATATCGAGGATTACAACTTCACACTGTAATACCATCCGAAAAAAACTAATGTGGTGGCTGATGCATTGAGTAGAAAATTCTGAAGTGCAATGATTAACATTATAAGGGACAAATGGCAATTGATGGAGGCACTAGAGGATTATGACCTCTAGATTGGTCAAAAAGAAGGTCAATCATGTCTGTTTAATCTCATTGCTCAACCTATTCTCTGACAAAAAGTTGTTGAATTACAACATTCGGATTCCCACCTGAAATCCATCCGCACCCAACTGGAGGATGGGAACGTTCCTGAAAATTGGTAGTCACAAAAGGGGCAACTATTATATCGATGAAGGTTAAGTGTTTTTAGGTTAAGAGAATAAAATCTAAATAAAACAGGACACGTATTTTAGGTTTATTTTGTCTTTCACTTTTTTAAGAACAACACCACTCTGTCCCTTAAAAGGTTCTAAACTTTTTCACTACTAAGAATTACAAATCTCACATTACATGTTAAATTATGCCAAAAAAACACGCCGTGCACAGCACAAAATATACGAGCAAGAAGACAGAAAAACAAAAACTACATAGGATTTATGTAGTTATTATGTACTGTAGAAAGGCAAAAAATTGTTATCACAGAACTTACAGAGTAAAACAGACAATGGACAAAATGCACTATAAAATTTACACCCCAAATTCGTTAAATTGGCAATGAGAATAATTGACAAAACATTGTGAAGCGTTCATAGTAACTATTTTAAGAACTGTTGCCCAAAACAGCAATTAAATTGGCAATAACAAATCACAAAATAAATTACAACCAGATAACTGCAAGGACAAACCTTAAAATGATATATAAAAAGAGGCCCAACATTACAGGAGATAAACAAAGGCCAGAACACGAGTACAACACACCAATACAAGAAATATANTAAAATGATATATAAAAAGAGGCCCAACATTACAGGAGATAAACAAAGGCCAGAACACGAGTACAACACACCAATACAAGAAATATAATCATTCCTCTCAAGATATGTAACTTTCTACTCATGACCTCACATCTTTCAGCANATATAATCATTCCTCTCAAGATATGTAACTTTCTACTCATGACCTCACATCTTTCAGCATTCCACCCTTCTCGAGCTCACCAACGAGGTCCCTTAGTGCTGGAACCTTCATGGCCAGAGTCCTATACAATCTAGAATACCGAGCTCGGGTTCCATCTGCTGTCCTCGCAAGAGCAAGTAAGCTTAGAGCCTCAGGAAGTTGAGTAAATATCTCTTTCATCTCCTCCAAGCTCATACTTACCAGAATGCTTGGTCTTGGAACAACCCTTACAATCTCACCGCCTTTAGGTTCTTGAACCCTCGCATCGGCTTTGATGACCAGTTCAGAGTTTGAGTTTGCTCCACATTTGATGATGAATGGGGTTGTCGAGCCGGTGTTGAACTGGAGGACATTCCATTGGGCCACATCCGTTTCAGGTGCAGACCCCAAATGTGTTGACAGTTTGGAAGCATGCGACGTCTCTTGAAGCCGGTCATGCTCTTCAGGAATTGACTGCAGAAAATCATGACAACAGCTGAGTCAAAAATAAATCCGAGTGAAGAGAAAATTCAGACTTAATTCTGATGTGACAAAATTTCAGAAGATATTTGTTGTTTTTTTTAAAACATTCAATCCAACCTCTGTTTTTTTCATNACAACAGCTGAGTCAAAAATAAATCCGAGTGAAGAGAAAATTCAGACTTAATTCTGATGTGACAAAATTTCAGAAGATATTTGTTGTTTTTTTTAAAACATTCAATCCAACCTCTGTTTTTTTCATCTCTTTCTCATGATTATTATAACTAGAGTAAACTATACATATGGTCCTCAAACTACGAAATTTGTGTCAATTAAGCCCTTGAAATTTTTTTTGAATCAATTAAATCCCCNATCTCTTTCTCATGATTATTATAACTAGAGTAAACTATACATATGGTCCTCAAACTATGAAATTTGTGTCAATTAAGCCCTTGAAATTTTTTTTGAATCAATTAAATCTCTGAACTCTGTAATTGTGTCAATTGTTCCACAATCCTACTGTACGCACAAAACAGGAAACAAGTGGAAAACTAACTTCCAGTAATAAAATATAAGTTTCACAAACCTCTACAGTACAACGAGCTTCTGCAATGTGCTTCTGGGCACATGGATGATCAATGTCAAGCAAGGAAGGCATCCGTTCAGCAAGTTCATCTAGAGATGCAAGCATTACTTTCTTCGTACTCTTGCTCAGTGTGTTAACAGATGCTTGTCTCATTAAATCCTGTTAAATAAATACATTTCTGTCACTAATTTCTTATAAGTCAACCAATTATCAACTAAATGAATACACGAATATGTAAAAGGTGAAACCTTGACTTGCTTCAGTATGGCATCAAGGGAAATTAATGATGCTAGCCGTGCATCCTCCGTCGCAGTAGAAGGATTTCTAATTGGTGAACTACCATCCTCTAACGTTAATAATGCTGCATCACTTCTCATTTGTTGCAAAATCTAATTGTGAAATAAATAAGGTCACATTAAGCCATATGCAGATTGTACAGAAACACAGCACATACAAAAATATACAATCATAACAAACATTTTCATGTGAGATGCACTCAATTTGCTCACTTTGGTGCCAAAAAAGAAAATCATGTGCTGTGTGTATGTACCAAACCTCCATGCCTGTACCCAATAGCAGATTGGCATAACCAGTTATTCCTCAACTCAGAATCAAATTCGTCAATGAACAGTGAAAATTATAACATGTGTACATGAAGCTATTCATGTAATTGGAATGAAGGTTTTTGCAATCGAGATAAACAAGTCTCACCACATTTAACAAGCCAATGCCACTGGCAACCTAGCACAGAGCCAGAATTATAAATAAGTGCTTACCTAACTAAGAGATCATGAGACTTGATAAGTAACGCAATAAAGACTAATGATCGTGAACCTTAGACCTTAAGAGGTTGGTCCCTAGTCATGTATAAAACTTACCTTTCAACCTAGGGTATACATTGATCACATAATACACCAAATACATTGTTCCACTTAGTCCATACTAATTTAAGTCTATGATTGACATTATCTCCAATCTCTCCTCTGAATGGATAATTGACCCCAAATATAGAAAGTGTTCGCTATTGGGCATCTCTTAATCTTCAATCTTTACTACCTCCCTATTTGGGTTTCTACTATTACTAACACTAAATTTCATACATTCAATTTTATTTCTATGTATCCTAAATATCTTTGATTCTAAAATTTCTCTCCCATCAATTAATACTTTATCATTGGCAAATAGCATACACCATGGAACCTCACCTTGAATTTGTCTTCTATTCATCCATAATTAAAACAAAGAGATACGTACTTAAAGCAGAACTCTAATGTAGGCCTACCATAATTGGATATTCACTAATTCCCCTGTAGTTGTTCTGACTTTAGTCACTGCACCCTCGTAAATATCCTTGATCATGTTAAAATATCTATTTGTAACACTCTTGTTCACCAAAACCTGCAATATTACAACCCTAAAAACTCTAGCACATGACTTCTCTAAGTCAATAAACACTCATATAAAGATCTTTCTTTTTCTCAATATGTCTTTTCATTAGTCTCTTAAGTCCATGGTTGATCTCTCAAATTAATTCTCTGACACAATTGTTTAAAATCTTAATTATTGCTTGAACCAGAGCTATTAAAAGTGCGCCCAGGCAAGGAGAGGTCAGGCAACCCCATGTCGCCTCAAATGTTCAAGGCGAAGCGAGCTTTTTTGAATCGAGGCTTAAACGCCAAAGTTGAGCACTTCACACTTAATCAAAATGGCAGCGAACACTTTTGTGATATTTTTATTTTGCTTGGTGAAGAGGATGAATTTTAAGTCCGCAAGATTTATGGAAGCATCAACAAAATGTCAAAAAATTTAGTTGCTTGACTTGTGTGTTCTCTATTTTCAAATGTTAGGATTTTGGACATTGTTAGTGCTATTTTGAATTTTAATGTTTATGGATTTAATTGTCGTTATAATTTGAGATATTATTGGTGTTTGTTTGAATTTAAATGTTTAACCAAGTAATTGAGAAGTTGGAACTTGAATATTTAGTAATAGCTAAACTAAAATATTTGCTTGGTTTTTATGTTGTGCTTAGCGTCTCGCCCAGACATATAGAGATCTGAACGCTTTGATTCTNGGAACTTGAATATTTAGTAATAGCTAAACTAAAATATTTGCTTGGTTTTTATGTTGTTTGCTTAGCGTCTCGCCTAGACATATAGAGATCTGAACGCTTTGATTCTCTTTACGCCTTAAATAAAACTAACACGATCATTCTCTCCTAGAGTTTTATTGTATGTCTCATTAATTTAATACTTTGAAAATTAGTGTAACTTTAGATTTGTGTTTTTTTTTACTAAAATACTCTTCCTCCACTTATCCAGCATCTTCTTACTTGTTAAAATTTTATTAAATTAGTTAGCAAAAATACTCCAACATCTTCTAAATACTTCCAAACCTCATCGGTACACAATTTGATCTTAAATCTTTTCCATTTTCCATAATCTAAAATTCATTCTTTACTTTGACACCCTAGTAGTTTACCCAAAAAAAAAATATATTATTATTTTTGCTAGTCTTCCTTTGGTAAATAGGTTTGATGTCCTCCCGATCTCTTGCCTGTCTTCATCTCTCTCTAAAGGTTAAGGTCAAAATTCTCCGATTCTCCTATTCATCTTCACAAAATCCCACAAGATTAATTATCCACCTTGGATTTTCTACCCTTTTTTCAATATACAAATTATAGAATCTGAAGCTTTAATCATATTTTTAAGTTCTACATACTTTTCATAACACTTTCACATTTTTATATATTCTAGATTTATTTTATTTTAATTTTTTACGATTCTACATTGCATTGTTACATATACTTTTAGTCCATTTTTTTAGTTCATAGGATCTTATGATTCTCGATCCATTCCAACTATTCCGATCAATTAGACTCCCTAGGTAGGATCACAATTTAAGAACCTTGGTAAACAATTAAGTTAAAAAGGTAAACATAAGATTAGGGATTAAGAGAGAGAGAGAGAGAAATNCCTAGGTAGGATCACAATTTAAGAACCTTGGTAAACAATTAAGTTAAAAAGGTAAACTTAAGATTAGGGATTAAGAGAGAGAGAGAGAGAGAGAAAGATGGAAGAAAAGTTAAGAGTTTTGCCCTACACTCTATTAGTTATATTGACACTGTCTTGGATAGTAACAATATTACCCAACATAAATATAAAACATAAAAAATAAGAACACAAACAAATGCAATAAGAAAGGTCGGATGTTTCATTATACAATGCAAGTAGGAACTGGTCGCTCCATTTAAAGAGCAACTATATGTCAACATGGATTGCATGTCCTTCACTTGTAGTTCCTAAAAAGCACGGACATGACACACGAATACGACACGACACATATATGCTGAAATGAATTTTTTCAAAAAAGGACACGGACACTTTGTGGGACTCGTTAAATACATAGTATTTATTTGTATTATATATATGCGTGTGTGTGTGTGTGTGTGATCATGTGATAAAATAAATATATNCGTTAAATACATAGTATTTATTTGTATTATATATATGCGTGTGTGTGTGTGTGTGTGTGTGATCATGTGATAAAATAAATTTGCCAATAATCATTCAATTCATCTTTTCTTTAATTCTAAGAACTAATATCATCATACCATCAAATAAAAAATTCAATACCACATATACCGATATACACTTATCATAAATATTCATGATCCAACAATCAATGATTACTACAATTTCTATATTTAAAAAATTCCCAAATCAACCCTAATTTTCATCAATTTCAAAGAGCCCTAATTTCGTAACCTATTTTTCATCACATTGCTTTCATATACAAAGTTTATTGCATTTGTATATAATTTTGTAATTGTTTCCGAAATTATGTTATATCCATGTCATATGTTCATGAAGCGATTATACTTTTTTCTACATTATGCATTTGACCCATATTTCTTTAAAATACAAAAATGACTTTGTTAATTATAAATTTGTTAGACAAGTTATTAAAAATTTGAAAAAAAAAAATCTCGAAACATGTCCAGAATGTGTCCTAAAAAAAATTTAACAATAAAAAAATCGGACACTCGTTTTAGAATGTCCGACATGTGCCCGAAACATATCCGTGTCCCAAACCCGCTTTGACCAAAATGAAGTGTTTGTGCTTCCTAGTGTAGTTCAATTCAAATCTTCTTTGATGCTATTTGCTTTCTAGAGATTGATTGAGCTTTAAAAAAAGTAAGAAAAACTATTGAAGCAAATAAATGCAGGATGATTGCATCGAAATTGCCAACTGACAGTAAAGAATCTCAGGCTTCCTAATTACTCAAAGAAAAGGAGGTGCAAAGGAGAAATTTTACAGGAAGCTGCATGAAACCTCATGTAATCAAGTTTCAGGTGGAAGCAAGTCCCTTTTTAATCTTCAGGTCAGACTACTAGGCCCCTTTTAATATGTAAGCACTATCCAGTAAAACATATAATAGTGTCTGTAATTTGAAAGACAATTTTAAAAACTTTTATCATTATCACACTAGTGCAGAAGATCAAACATATTAATATATGATTGCAGCCAAGCAACCAACCCCATAAAAAAGTTTACAAAGTTTAAGCTTCAGCTAGGATGCATGAACTAGTGCTCGAGAGTAAATTTAGAAAACAAGCAGACAAAACATCAGAACAGTGCATAATAAGATGGTTATTCAACTAAACTGACTACCTTCCTTCTCTTGTGATCAACAGACTCCAGAGCTGAACGCAGTTTTGCTACCTGTGCCAAGTCTTCTGCCACTTCGGTTGCCAAGGTACCAGCAATATCCTGTTAAAAGGCCAATGATGATATCAGATATATGAATAAGATTACAATGCAATCCAAGAGTACGCAAGTAAAATCATCTTTATCAACTATTGTTATTTAAAGAACAGAGCACCTAGGTATGGCTCATCTGAAAGTGCCATAATGCAGACAAGAACAAACAATCTACTAGGACTGGGAGACCATCAATTGGCACCAGAGTGATTAGGGCTGCAAAGTTAAAGAAGGGGGAACTCACAGTGGGTAGAAAATGGGAACATCACCCAGTATTCCTCCCCCCTCGAGGGTTTACGCGTGGCGGATATCCTTTTTCTCCTTGAACAAAAAGGGGATCCAAACTTCTTTTCTTTTCTTTTTTTCACAATGTTTGTTTCTATTTTGGCAGCCACTTTTAGACTATCAATTCACACATATCAGCACATGGGTCTCCTACGTGTCCAATGAAACATACCGTGCAATTCTCTAGTCATCAGAATCACATTTTATGAAATTAGCAATTGAACATAGTTTTTTTTTTAAAAAAATTCAGTGAAATTATCTGCAACATGCCATTTTTCTATGACATTAAGAAGCTACAATGTTGCAGGGGCATGTCACTTGGCCAGTTGTGCATCCAGCAATTAACTAGCCATCAGAGTAACTTTTTTGAATCGAACTTTTCTGGATTGAAAATATTATTAATCCATTAATTGACAAGATTGTTTTTGTGTTATATACCAACTGTCCCTTGACTCTGATTTTCTAATAGATGCCAATGCACCTGACTCACATTATGGGTAGCCACATCTTCAAAACAGTCATCGAGGAAAATAAGTTATTTTTATGCCATACGTTTACTCAAATTGGGAAAATCCATTGTAGCAATTGACAGAGTCGTTGCAGTTATAAAGTCCTCTACAAACCCAGGGTGTTTGCTATGAACCTTATAGAAACTCTTATGACCAAGCAAATAAATAGTTGCACCGACAGAGAAATTGAAAACGGTAACAGAGAGGTTGTCAAAGACCACAACATGGTACAAGATAAAACATTGGCATGAGTTTATCAGTGAATATATACTTCATATATACCAGAAACATCTGATCAAGAACAAAGCATCCATCCATAATGATTTTATAGTTGTAAAGACTAAAAAATTCTACTGCAATATACCTTTAAATGCTGCAGTTGAGAAGTAAAAACTCTCTTTGCATATTCCGATAAAAGTTGGCCAAGGGCATCAGTATTGGGAGGCTGGGCAGCACCAAGTCCAGCCATCCAACCATCCATAATTGCAGTAGAAAGAAGCTCTAGCTGACCAGTTGCTCCCCCGATAGAATCATCAGTGACCGATAGAAATTCAAAGTTCTCCGCAAGCCAAGTTCTGATCTGACGCTGAAGCTCGCCAGCTGGGGTATGAACAAACAGAGAAGCAAGAGCCTTATTTCCAACTGAAAAATATTTGGCTTCCTCAGTAATTTCCCTGAGCTTACCACCAGTTACATGCTGTCTCCATGTTTCCTGTACAATTGAGGTCAAAGTCTTGGAGTTAGCCAGAAAAACCAGTACAACATGGCCATCTCCCACAGGAGAACCATGATTCATAAAATTAACTAGCGAAAGGGATACATGGCAAGAAAGAAAACGAAGTATTACAGTGCAAACTACCCAAAAACATCAACATTGTCCCTGTAGTTATTAGTAGCTTTCATTCTATTGCTCTATATAACACTTAACAGATGATTNAAAATTAACTAGCGAAAGGGATACATGGCAAGAAAGAAAACGAAGTATTACAGTGCAAACTACCCAAAAACATCAACATTGTCACTGTAGTTATTAGTAGCTTTCATTCTATTGCTCTATATAACACTTAACAGATGATTAGAATATATCAGAATTCTGGAAAACACTTGACCTATCGCATTATAAAATGACGTTCCTTGCTTATTCCGATATCTATGCCAGATTATTCAATGAATCCGAAGGTCAACCCTCCATCTAAACATGCTTGTGCTGAACACTTTATCTTAAAAGGAAAAATGTATAAATCAGTTCCATGTTGGTTAGAAGTACTCTGGAGCAGAAAGCAGAGCTTCTTGCTTAGCACGTATTCTGTGATATGATTCTGTAAGTCACAAAAGAAACAGCAGAAACAACATGAAGAGCAGGAGCAGCGTAGTGTCTGATAATTTGAGAAGCAAAAGCACTCCACAACGTCTTGAAATTTAGTATATAGATGGAAAAAGAAGCGATAGCACATTTACCACCTCCAGTATTTTGAAAGTTGAAAAAACAAAAGCAGAGGAGATCGAAGTGGAGGACGAAAAGAATAACAAGAATTCCAGCAACATCAGATGAAGACGTAGCAAACACACATATCATTCAGAAAATAACACCCCGCTTACTCCCCGTTAACGGAGGTCTGGGAAGGCACAGATAGAGTACAAACCCAACCTTTGGTACTATGTGCAAAAGGTGGGTGCCCTCAGGTTCAAACCAACAACCTCAAGGTTATTGAGGCAAATTTTAACCACTAAACCAGTAGCCCCTGTACTGAATATCATCCCCGGAAGTTAAAAGGAGTAGTTGAAAGGATTGTCAGGAGATACCCCGGATGTCACTTATTACAAGAAACAAAAGCAGAAAGAGAATATGATAATAAATAGAGAACAGTAGCAAAAGAAGAAGCAAAAGCAGTAGCAGAAGTGAGTATTAGGCTTTCAAAACTCAGCTTCTCTTAAATATTCCGCGTTCACACTCTTCTGAAACTCATCCCAGGCTCAACTATTTCATTTCGAGTTGGCTCACTAGCACCAAGCATTCAAGCAAGCACAGTATGTACAAAAGCCATGATATCAACTTCTTTCACGTATCAAAAGTTAGTTAAAGAACTGTGACTTCTGATTTAAATTTTGTCAACATTCACTTGGAATCACTTTTTGCTTGTATAATGTAATATACAATCACTTTTCACTTGTATAATGTAATAAAGAATGAAATATTTCCATGTTAGATATAATTGTTGAACACCAACAAAGCTTCGCCGTTAGAGAGGGTGTAACTTAAGTATTTATACATCAACATAACTCCTAAAGTGCTGGATAGATTTTGAGCCTAGCACGTGAAAATATTTTAATTATCAAGGTGGTGGCAAGATTCAAACACATGACATCCTACTCTAATACCATGTTGAACGCCAAGTAATGTAAGGATTTATACCTCAACAATAATAAACTAATAAAATGATCGTTCAGATAAAAACTAAACTCGGTAGCCATCATATTCAACAAGTCCAAAGAATCTGGGCAGCCTGTGTGGGCTTTGATGGTTTTATAAAATGAGCTTCAAAATAAGGAAAGCTCAATTCATCCATCAAATAAACGGAAACGAGTCAAGTTTGAGCTGTACATGAACAGCTCAATTCATATATAAACTTGCACTTGTGAGCCAGGTTCAGAATTAAAAAGAAAAAAAAAAAAAAAAACCCAAAATAAAAAAGGAGTATCAGAAGTTACTGCAGAAGCACCTGATCAATTCCCCGTATCTTCAAAACAACTGATGACAACTTAGATTTCTTTTCAGGCTTTAAATTAACTTTAAAGCCCTGAATGTGCTCGTCAACCAGAGAATTTCTCGTGTTCGAATCATAGCGCACAGGAGATCTTCCAGGGCTGCTACCGCGGCTGGAACTTCTACTACGCCCAGTATTAGCCTTCTCCAGGAAGCGCTCAACAGGAGAAACCTAAATATAGAATGAAGAGTAACAAACTTGAACTGTAAAAATGGCATCATTGACAGTAGCGAAATATTAGAAAATGGTAGCCATGTTCCATTACCTTGATGGATTGCAGCTCTGGAGACCTAGCAAGTAAAGATCTTATATATAAAATCCTAACACGGGAAACAAGCATCGTATCCATTACCCTCTTTGGTTCCATTTTACGAATAAAGGAAAAAACAGCATCTCTTATTTCTGCAAGTATTTCGTGCTCTCTAGAAGCACCTGCTTTAATTACTGCAGCCAAAACCTGCAATTAGACAATAATTCTCAGAAATAGTAGAACAAAATGATCTATCAGAAAGGTGACTACCATTCAACAAATAATGATGGTCACTCTCCAAAGAAGAATTTCAATTGACAGGAACAGTAACATTCATAGTCCTTCCATTTCATATTTATAGTGAAATGTCACCAGAAAGGTTAAGCAGTAAATGCTGCAATTGAATTCCTGACCGTCAAAAGGTTATTTATCTGAAGCCAAATCTGAGATGATAATCCCTGATGAATTACAACAGCACACAGCTAGAAAATATTACAGCTTACTTGCACAAAAGTTATAAACAACCTAGAGATTATAGTGCCAACAAAGTCATAACACTGTAGTTATTTATTCTAGTATGTCCTCTAGGATAATAACAAGAAAGATCGAATTAGAACTGTCAATGGGAGCAGTGTTTGGTCAAGATATCTCTCTTTTAACATATGTAAATGGTTAATGAACACATCTATTTTCGGAGTGCTCAATCCAACAATGCTGAAATTCCAGCTACTTGGATTTCTATAGGATTTCTAAAGTCAGCTTTCTACATTCATAAGCCAAACAGTGGAAAAATGAACAGGAACCTGTTAACCTCAGAAAAGCTTCAAACCATAAGATTTAAAGCATTCACATCTAGGAGGTGCAAAATATTAAAAGGGCCCAGGTTCCTGTTTGAAATTGGATTTAGACCAGACATTTATTATAAGGCCACACAATACAGCACCTTTATAAAACTCTCTTAACATTGATTTTCCACTTTAAGTTTTCCAGATTGTACAACTCATCATCAATCGTACCAGCATCAAAAGCTTGTTCGCTCCATCTGAAATGGCAGCGAGACTTTCATGTTGTTCAGGATCAAAGTCATTCAGAGCGGAAGTAAGATATTCTCCAGCTGGGGTTGTCTTGACCTTCTCAGTACCTGATTTAACCAAAGCACCAGTGCCCTCATTCTTATCCATGACCAGAGGCAATGGGACAACATCCATAGAACGTCCTTTATTATTATCTCTCCTGTCATTAAAAAATAGGTCAATTGAAAACCAAGAATTCTAGAAGGGAAAAGACAAGAAAGTACAAGAGCATAATATGAAAATATATAGAGTATAAATATTAAGTGTAACAGAAAAAATACCTTCCCAGGTCCTGAACCTGCACATTAGGTGGTCCTTTGGGTGAGGGACTTGACACCTAAGAGAAGAGAGCATCAAACTGATAAATTCTGATACCACTTATTTGATGATAAAAAGTACAAACAACAAACTTATTCCAAGTTGAGCCCAGGGCATCACAACTCCACGTGGCCAAAAAAAAGATAATCAGCAAAAATTTAATTTGTCAAAATCCTACCATGTTCAGATGGAAGAAAACATACGTTTGCAGCTCCGCATAGACAATTTCTTTAGAAAAATTTCCAATAGGAGTAAAACATTTTTTTTCCTTGAATGACCTCTATGCATTGATCTAATGATTGGCCTCAACGTGACAACAATTGATTGGCCAGGAATGATAGGCAAATCATCACCACAAATATTGGAATTGTTCACACAATCCACGCTCACCCCCCAAAAAATCCAAAAGAAAATAAAAAATACCAAAATTCCATGACTTTATACATTATAAAAATACAAAGATTCTTCTCAAACTGATAAACAATGGGCAACTTTAGCATAGAAGAGAAGAACATTATCTTCATCAAGCAAAAACAAATAATATATCCTTCACAAGGACATACAGTCAAAGCATATAGAGTAATAGCATTACAAGGAAGAAACAATCATGCAATTCCAAATAGTAGACAGATAATCGATGTCCAGGCTATTTCTTCTGAGACAGCAAGCCTCTGCTACCTTAAATCTTGGGAAGAGATAAAGTTTCTACTAACTTTCAAAAGGAAAATTCCATAGCCAAAGCTGGCTTATTTTTTGGGCCTGTTCATTATAGAGGAAGCAGTTTTGGTTCTGCCAAAGCAAAGACTCTTCAAACTGTACCACGTACTTGCAGGAGCAGTAAAATGCTTTGGCATAAGTTAATTATTGCTTTGGCAATATAGCTGGACCAATTCAAAAACCTATGACAGGAATGACTGCATGAAGAAAAGAGCAAGTACAAAAATCAACCGAGCAATCAAACTGCAAAGAGGCCCCCTTTTGAGTTTGATGTGATTGAACGAATAAGATAGAAAAATAAAACTTCAAATGAGAGTATATAACACCGTACCACACAAACCCGCATAGAGTTTATTTAAAGAGTACAAAGCTGCTAGAAAATGAAGAACCCTTGTTCTTCAAATTGGGAATATTAGACAATTTACCCAATCTCTGAGNATGTGATTGAACGAATAAGATAGAAAAATAAAACTTCAAATGAGAGTATATAACACCGTACCACACAAACCCACATAGAGTTTATTTAAAGAGTACAAAGCTGCTAGAAAGTGAAGAACCCTTGTTCTTCAAATTGGGAATATTAGACAATTTACCCAATCTCTGAGTAATATGGCAACTTGAGCCACAAGGACAGTCATACTCACTTTTATTCTTTTCGGATAGATATAAACTAAAAAGCGTGGATACAAGATAACATATCCGTGTCTGAAACCAACACTCTGGGACACACGTGATACTCTTTTAGTCATGTCCATCATAAAGAAGTTTAAATCTTAATTCAAGGCACAAGTCAAACACTCTTTTGGCAATGTGCCCAATATTTCTTAATGACAAAACAATTAACATCAGGACGACACTTCTTGGACACTTGCTCAAATGAAATTAGAAAAGGTATAAATTTCAAGACTGGTCATATTAAAACTCACACACTACTTAATAGAAAAAAGCAAAATAAAAATAAAGGGATGATGAGAGGAATAGTGTAACCATGTGTGCTTGCTACTCTCTTTTCATGAGAACCAAAGCTCATTAACTACTATGGTCCACTAGTCCAAAATTTCATATGAGAAATCTCAAATACTAGACATGATTGTATGTAGCATGCCATAGCCATGTCCGTGCCTATATCCTACTTTTTCGAATTTTCCACGCTAACGTGTTCATGCCACGTCGCATCCATATCCCATGTCTGTTTTTGAACTTCATAGAGTACAAAAATTGGAACCCATCACCATGTTGTGACGACAATCTTGTCTATGGATAACATCTATGTCAATCAACAAATAATTGTTTCAAAAAAGTGGAGAAAAAAGGTCACAGGAGTTCCAACCAAAACAGAACTTTGCTAATTAAGTGTTTGAACAAACTTTGCACAATTCCAAGTTTCTTATTTGTTAAAGTAAATCATAACAAAGGCTGTTGATATAGAATCGCCCACCACCTACAGGATTGTTCAGGGTTTTCTAAAATTTTTGCAAGAAAATAAACAACATAAAAAAAAAAAAAAAACACAGCAGGAGAATATGAACTTCTTCCACCTTAAGAATATGTAAATGTAATGTACTATGCAAGCCAACCCCGACAATGACATTGAGAATTCCACTTTTAAATTAAACCAAAAGAAATATCATAAATTCATTTAACAGGTACAACATAGACAGGGAAACCAACAGCAAAGTAAATGATTGACATATTAAGCAAGGAATCCCTCAAGAGATCATTTATACCATGATTAGACGATCAAGAGATTTTTTTGAACAAAAGGGAAAGGGTACAAAACACATAAACTAACTACCTGCGGTGATCCAACTAAGGTTGCTTTTTCCGTCAATCTATCAAACAATTTCTCATTTTCTTCATGCAATCTCTGCAAAAAAACATTAAATACATTTTCAAGACAACCTAAATTTATTGAAGGGAGATATTAAATATAGTCCATGTAACAAACAGAAAGGATAAATTCACAAATTTACAGAAAATAAATATGCATTCAGAAGCATAACTTTGTGTTACCAAAAAAAAAAAACATCAGAGCTTTTGGCACACTTCAAAAAGATGCATATTCTTTTTGATCTATGATAGTGGGCCGCCAACATCCAAAATCATTCTTTTTAGACGAGATACAATAAAAATCTGTTAGCTCTGACAATCAGAAATATTTTCAGATACCCATCTACTGCCTCTGTTTTCTAGTTTGTCAAGATTCTCTAATCTACAACTGTTCTTCACCAGTATCATCAAATCAAGGACCATTATGATCCAGAGGACTGTAACTTGCAATTAAACAAAAAGATTTTCAAAAATAACCATATCTGGTCTTTAGAGATGTCATCAAACCAATTACCCATTAATCGATTAAAAAATTGAACGAACCAACATAAAAGAATTGATCTTCAAAACTTACCGTCAATAGCATATCAGAAATATCCATGTTATCGATAAAAAAATTGAATGAACCAACAGAAACGAATTTATCTTCAAAACTTACCATCAGTAGCACATCAGAAATATCCATGTTTATTGTAGTTTCTAGTAACGGAGCCAGAAAAATGCTCTAGGGTGGACACTCTAACATGTTTTATCATAATCAATAAAAACAAGAGGACACATTTATAGTATTTATTTCATCTATGATCCTTAAAATTCTATGCATATATGTGTACGACAGAAAAAGAAATTAATTATATTCTTTTATTGAACATGAGATTAATTGGAGTTTGTTACAATTAACCCAACAAATTTTCGACAGTGTTGTTTGATGACTTCATTATTAATGACTAATAAAATTAATGTCAAAATCACTGATATGCACACTAAAGGATACACCACATATTTTTTTATTTTAAAATTTTGATAGCAAGATCACAAATCTCTACTAAGTTTTAAATATCTCCTAGTTGAATTGATCAAAAGATTTTAAAATGAACCTAAAGTCATCAAATTAAGCCCCAATAACATTTTTCAAAAAAATAATAGGGTGGGCATAATTAGATATACTTAAAAAAAAATAATAAGTAATGGTAAGGCAAAAAAATTGAGGGAGGGCACATTGAGTGGCTCCGCCACTGGTAATTTCCTACCACCAAACTTATTCATCAATATTGAAATCTACAAAATTGTTCACCAATCTAATGGTTTAAACATTTTTGTCAATTAAGATGAAGGAGAAGGGTGATGCCCATAACAAAATAAAAATAAAAATTCCCCTCATTGCAAAGCTACTTGACCAAGACAAAGGTCACTTAGATTGGTAATAAGACCTAGAAAGCTCCATGAGATACCTGCACGTTGGGGATGGGAGTGCAAGATATAGATATGAGATCGATCATGAACGTTGAAGTAACGCATTGTGACCTAGAGGGGGATGAATAGGTCTTATGTCACTCAAGCGCAGAATTATGCCCAAATAAAACCTAACTCAACATAATTGCAAATTTAAACCTCTTTGTGATTTCAACCTTTGACCTTATTAGTGAATGTATATGTCAAGTTAATGAAATTTAATATAACACAATCCACCAATTCAATTACTCGAGTCCACCAAATTACCATGTATACAAATTGAATGGCCAACAATACACGCCGGATTCACTCAAGCATTCATTCAAGCATGAAGAAAGAATAAAAATTATAAGTATGTAAAAGACAGCAATTACATAACACNAGCATTCATTCAAGCATGAAGAAAGAATAAAAATTATAAGTATGTAAAAGACAGCAATTACATAACACATGCAATTTTTACGTGGAAATCCTCTTGGGAAAAACCCTGAGATCAATCCTGGCACACCTAACCTAATCTACTAGTTTCAAACACTTATACCTCGACCAGTTTCATGGCTAGAAGCTCACCCTTGAATCTTCACTCTTGAAATCCACCACAAACATCTTGACAACTAGTTTCAAAGGCAACAAACCGAAATCCACGATCCGCCCTAGTCGAATCCTGCTTCTTCTCCCTTTGGAATCCTCTCGTTAATCCTTGAGTCTCCTTTTTGGATCCTTTGTGTTATGGGTTTGATGGATATTCAAGATCTTCAACAATTGATGCTCAAAATCCTCTTGGATATCAATGTTGATCTTGATGGAATTGGATTTTAATCTTGTCTAGGGAAAGATCTCTCTTGAATAGGTAGTCTCTCTAAACCTTAGAGTCTCTTTCTAACTCCCTTAAACCTATTTTGATCACACAGAATGTTCACTTCCATGATTATTAACCCATTTCCTCTTTTATTTTATTTATTAAACATTGTAATAGTCCCTTTCCAAAGAAGGCAAGTGCAAAGGAATCCTAGTGCTCTCAACCTTCATGTGGCTTACTGTGAAACTAAGCTATCCGCCTTATCAAGTGCGAATGGAGAGAGAAAAAGGGGACATTAAATTGGAAAGTCACAAATCAATAATAGAAAGATTACATGGACAGTATAATTTGAGGAAAACGACAATAGAAATGGCAAACCCAAGCAGTGACACCCTCCTCTACTTCTCTCTTTTGTACATTCATTCGTCTTTCCCCTCTCTACTCAAACGAGATCCAAGTGAGTGACCAATTGCTCTAGCCACAGTTTTTTACATGCCAAAGTTAAAATCCAATATTTAGCAATCACCCTGCATTCCCCGAGAAGAGTCTCATACTTAATCTACAGCTTTGGCATTTACTGCCGTCAAACTTGAATATGCTTCTTTACCAATAAGGATATAGTGCATTCCCCTCATAAGAACAGAACTATGCCAAAACTAAAGGCACCTCCCTAGTGCAACTCCTGATATTCATAGAAAATCTTCCTCTCCAATGGAAGTTAAACTTTGGTGTGTGCATAGATTTCAGGAACGTCCAGCAAGGTCATGTCCGCGGAGAGCTGCTACTTGATGAAGCGCTGTTGCCACCCTTCAATCACTGAGAATTTTGCTAAGAACGTTCAAAACTCTCACTAAAGGGAAGAGTTAGCTGAACACCCAATAAGTCATGAAGAGAATTCATCTAGTCCGTTTTAAGTCAAACCCCTCGCCCNGTTCAAAACTCTCACTAAAGGGAAGAGTTAGCTGAACACCCAATAAGTCATGAAGAGAATTCATCTAGTCCGTTTTAAGTCAAACCCCTCGCCCCTTTTGCTTTTGCCACCAATGAATCTGCTTTATCATTCAACAACAATAGGCAAGGGCCAAAGGCCGAACTCTTCAGTAACGAAGAATTTACCCAGGCAATAAAACCTCTGTGGAGTAGCTGAAATTCTATGAACTAAGGACAGTATAGATCGTATTCGGTCAGACTGATGAAAACCATTGCAAACAGCTATCTGAGGCCTTCAAAAGATCCAAATTTTGGCCTGACTTCTTCGAACAACCTTGAGAAAACAAGAGAGCTTTCCTCCCTTAAATATCTCCCCAAATACATCCAATACCGAGATGACCAAATTTCTAAGTGAGCAAATACTAAAACTAAATTTTATTTACCAGCACTAGGAACAACATTTAGCATGTACGAAAGGAGATAAATGGAATGTAATCTCTATGATGTGTTGACTATCTCACAAACCACAAACCACAAACCACACCAGCATCTTGACTTTGGTGATAGACATACACTTTCAAGATAGATATGGAGTGAAACAACCTTGNACCAAATTTCTAAGTGAGCAAATACTAAAACTAAATTTTATTTACCAGCACTAGGAATAACATTTAGCATGTACGAAAGGAGATAAATGGAATGTAATCTCTATGATGTGTTGACTATCTCACAAACCACAAACCACACCAGCATCTTGACTTTGGTGATAGACATACACTTTCAAGATAGATATGGAGTGAAACAACCTTAGTGTTTTCATTAATATTCAGGATTCCTGAAGGAATTGAACTATCAACCCCAAATTCAAAAAACAGAAGTTGCCAAAGAACCAAAAAACCCAACACCAGATAATCGTAAAGTGACGGTTATGCCTGATGCCAAAGAGAAGATGCCAAACGGTATTAAGCAAAGTCATCATTCATCGCAGTGGTGAGAGGTAGGCAACTTTCACTGCGGTATCAGTATTTTCCTCAAATACCATGTAGTAGGATATTAGTAGGATTTTACTTCGTTTGAATGCCTTATATCAACTAGGGAAAGTAATACATGGTAAAATTTCATCCTATTTCAATGAGCGAAATAGGACATAGTCCCTTTCAATCTTGGAGTTCTTTTGATTGTGGGGCAAATAGCAATATATATCACCCGTTTTCTGTCAACACTTGCAAGGTTGCATTAGAATCTAAAGGCAGAGACTTTGTGCAAATTGTACAGTAGGTTGGGTCTGTACCCAATCTATTTGATCAAACTGAGTAATAACCTTTTATACAAATCATGATAAACAACCATTGATAATTATCAATTTTCCTTTTCATATAATTTCAAGAATCCTAATAAGCAAAAAAATGTACTTTTTCGTCTTTCCTTGGAAGAAGCAAGAAGTGATCAATTTTGCCCGTAATCTTGAGATGAGATGAGATGAAGAAACCCGACATCAGGATTCTAAATGACTCCCAAGAAAGAACTTTTATGTAATCTGAAGGAACTTTTCTTTTGTAGTGGACTAGATTACCAAATCATTTATTTTCAATCTATGTCGAACCCAAAAGTGAACTTTTTAATTGCTCTCGCTGGTTTATTAAATAATATATTTCTCTCTTTTTAAGTCTTTTTGGAAAATTCTTTTGCTCATCCAAAAGGCTCATGAGAAAATTTCGAAAACAAATAAAAAAAGACCTCTTCTTTTCTTTCTTCTTTCTCAAAAGGCCTTGATGGAATTGAGAGCAAAAGAAAATCAAACCTACCCCTTCGAATGAATTGAAGAATGAACAGTGACCCAAACTAACGGGGAGGGGTCACCTTGCATCCCTTTCCTCCAATTGAGTTGCAGTTGGCCTTATTTCAATCAAAATGAGTCCTCAAGACCCAAACTAACAGGGAGGGGTCACCTTGCATCCCTTTCCTCCAATCGAGTTGTAGTTGGCCTTGTTTCAATCAAATGAGTCCTCAGGACCCTCTCTTTAGTAGACTTTCATTTCTTTTCTCTTTTTCTTTACACAGAAACTGACACTCAATCATTCTGCTAATAAAGCTTGTATTTTCCTAATGATAAATTGGTAATAAACATGATGAAATATCCATGTGGGGTCCAAATCATACAAGAACATGAAAAAATTATATTTTTTGCTAGTTCATCACATACAATGTTAAGAAATTGCAACACTACACAAAAAGCAAAGAAAGCCCAATGCACTTCAAGAGTCAACAAGCAATAACAACACCACTTAAAAGGACTACATTGACCATTTTCATAGGCTTTTCAAAAGAGGAGGCATGCCCAGTGTTTCACATATTGCACACCAATTTGATTTCAAGACTGATTAAAGGCAAAGGTACAAAAAAGCCTTTTGGTGTCATGTAATTTTACATATAACTCCACTCAAGAAAACCTGGTCCCAAACAATTTTTAGGTCAGTTACATAAATCATATTTCCCCATTAAGCTCAATCAAGGTCATGCTTTCTGCCAAACCATAAATCATCAATGTAATATCATGTAGAATCAAGGATCAAAATTTGATTTCGAAACATTTCTGTTTTCAAAAAGACTGAAACAAATCAGTGATAGAATCAAAATTCTAATATTTTGAGATGTTTCATAATGTTTCGAGGCATTTTGTAATATTTCAATACATTTGCACAATTGTATTAGAATGTTTCAAGATATTTCAAGATACTATAATATATTTCAACCAATGTTTTGAAAAAATAATTCTTAAATTTTTTATTTTTTCATTATGTTTTCGAAACGGGTTGAAACAAGTCNTTTCAACCAATGTTTTGAAAAAATAATTCTTAAATTTTTTATTTTTTCATTATGTTTCCGAAACGGGTTTAAACAAGTTGAAATGTTTCCGTTTCCTAAGTGACCGAAACAATACACCAAAACGAAATTTTAATCCTTGCATAGAAGATGAAAATAGAAGACACCTGCCAACCACCGGTAAAGATCAAGTCAACTAGAATTGCCCATCTTGTGTCCTGTTGGACTGTCACACTTTCTATGTCTTATCTTTTTTGGAAATCATTTGCCAGATTTTTTTAGTTATTCTACACAAACTCAAAGACCACAATTCATGGTTAAATCCTTTCCCTAAGTTGCCTTCAAAACCACTACCTCAATATCCACAGTTTAGATGACCAATTATTTTCCAATTACTCAGAAAACAGACCAAAAAGTAGAGCAAGTCTTAGATCAGACATCTGAACCCCCATCCTGCCCCTAACCACAACACGGAAAAATCTCATCCAATAGGTAAACATATTGCTCACAAGCACAGGGTAATTTCAATATTTAATGCCTGGAGATTACAACATAAGATATACACAACAAATGGTGCCTACAATTTCTTGGTTCCTTAGAGATGACAATTTGGACAGATGACAATTTGAAGAGATGATATGAACAATCTATTCGCGAATCCCCCAGAAAACAGCACACAAAGCAAAGCAAGTTTTAGATCTCTCGTGTGGACCTCTGACATCCAAGAATATATACATTGCTCACAAGCATGGGGATTATTTCTTAAGATCACAGTCCAATAAACATGTAAAGCTCAAGATATGAGCATCACAAAGAGAAAAAGAGAAAAGTTCAAAGCTAAGAAAATTCTATACCCTGATGACCCCTTTAGCACTGAAATAAACAAAGTCATATAGAAGCAACTTTTTACCACTGCCAATATACAACAAATGTAATACACCACAAACAAAACAGTTAAGAATACCAAACCTCAATAAGTGCATCTCGTTTCAGGAGTTCTTCTTCCAGTTTCTTGGTAACAGCTACTGAATCCATTCCGTCCCCTGTTGCCCCGTGGTTCAATTGAGCCACAGACCTTGATTCTAATCCGTTTGCCAACTTAGCATCGCTAGAACGAAGGGCTTCATTTAATTGTAATTCAATGCTTTTTAGTTTAGCCTACATCAAGAGTCATTAACAAACAACCACCAGTATCGTCAGCATGTGAAAGATTAACTAGATCAGGAAAAGAGACGCATGAAATGCAACTTTCATATGTTAAAAGGGTGTACATATTATCTACCCCTTGATGTAGACATAGCACTGACAAAATGCAGAAAATCAAACAAAGCCCTTACCGGAAAACAAGCCAAAAAATTAACTGATGAAAGAATTGCCACAACACTCACGAAATAAACACATCAAACCACATTTCACAAAGAGCTCAAATAGTCTACCTGTTGTCTCTTAGTCAAGATTATTAAATGCAATAACTGCTGCAATTTAAGCAAAAGATCGACCACCGTCGAAACAAAGGCCTGGCATATACTGACTCCTAATACTAACCCAAAAAAAATTAAGAGTTCCACCAGTTTAACAAAAATTGCACCATATTATAATGTGTTTCAAGTGTGTAGTGAGATGGTGCAAAAAAAAGAGAGAAGTGATGTCAGCTGTCTAGGACTTCTACATGCTAGGGGCAGGCTAAAAATACCAGACATACTGATCTTGTACAGCACAGAAACCAACTAGAAGAATGGTGCAAACAGCATTGCCGAATTAAATGCTTTGGCACAGTGGATATCCTCTACGTTTTCATTTACTTTTAATATTTTGGAATTGATTCACAAAATTAAACATCTGCCAACAACCATCATCAGCCCATGGATCTAAAGTTTTTAAAAATTTGTATACCTTTGAATCTAATAAAAGTACAATGGGGAAAAAAATTCATCATCTTCAAACATCAACATTGTGTATGTTGTGCGTACATATTTTATCCAAATCTTGATGGTTTTTCTTCATTATTTCTCCCACACCTGTAACCATACTCACACATCCATCACATGCTGAAATAGCCCCTCACCAAATCCAATAATCTTAGTAAATATATGCAAACCAATGTTTCAGTTGGTGAAACAAAATTCAGCCTTTGTCTTTGAATTAGACTAGCACTAGCTAATCCAATATATCCATAAAAACAATGAGTACAGAAAACAACAAGGCCAAACCCGAGCCCTGTAACAACCGTCCATTCCATATTCCTGTTCACAAGCCCAATCACAAACAAACCCCATTTCCATGCTCCCAGGTGTTCATTCCTTCTTGCCACTCTGACAAACACATGAAACACTCACAAAACCAAATTTCTCTACACCCCCCATGTTCTTGTTATTAGATCCCACTTTGCAACTATTACGTAGGTGGCATAGACGGCTCGCCCATAATGCAAAACAAAGGAAGTAGATCATGAAGACCTGTTCCAAAATGACTTTCCTTGGTACTCCATCTGTCCCTTAATTCAGGACCCTTTCTGGGAAACCAATTTTCTCCAAGGACATTATAATGTGTGTTTAACCTGCACTGGGAACTTTTTAGTTTCTACTATCAGCCTTCATTTGAATTCAAAAATTCACTTTTTGAACCGTCTCACGTGTTTGAAATAAGGGTGGATAGGAGCTGCTGCATGAAAAAATGCCTGGATTTTCCAAACTAGATTCTAATTATGGAACATATCGAGAACAAAATGCGGACTGTAATCTTGGGACAAAGGAGTAAAAAAAAATTTATGATAAAGCAAGGATTGATCGACTTCATACTACACTGAGTACTAGATAAGATTCTTCACATTACTCCTCAATACACAAATATCATGCTTAAAACATAAGTTCCTCTTTTGCAGATTTGTCACAAAACAAAAAATGAAGCTTAAGAAATACAAAGCTATTCCTACTCAAGAAACACTTACTTTTATTATCAATAAAATTTAGTTTTTTATCAAAAAAAAAAAAAAAATACAAAGCTATTCCTACTCAAGTTGCCATTAATAACTCTGGAAATTGTTTCAAACTAATAAAGTGTGGCGCTAAGGCCAATGGCAAAGTTGGGCCCCCTCACAATTTTTGAATTTCTCAAGAAAGCATGGTTCAAATTCAATTTTGATGTTGTGTTGATAGGCAATCATATTAGCCAGCCTGCCATCATATTTTTTTTCTTTTTGTTAACGAGGAAAGGTCGCTTTGGACCCATCCTTCCGAGAATAAACCCAGATACTTGCAATTACTCGCGNTTTTGATGTTGTGTTGATAGGCAATCATATTAGCCAGCCTGCCATCATATTTTTTTTTCTTTTTGTTAACGAAGAAAGGTCGCTTTGGACCCATCCTTCCGAGAATAAACCCAGATACTTGCAATTACTCGCANAAGGAATTGACGAAACAGTTCCTGGCTCGATTCATTACGGGGAGTAAGCGCCCCAAAAATGTTGGATCATTGCTGACCCTCAGACGTAGGGAATTNTAACGAAGAAAGGTCGCTTTGGACCCATCCTTCCGAGAATAAACCCAGATACTTGCAATTACTCGCAAACCACAGGTATCAGTTAAGCCCGGGAGACGCCAACGAGGGTCGAACCCCTGACGTTTGGGTCTATGGTTCGTCTAAGTCCAACCCCATGCTACTGGGTGCGGATTAGCCTGCTATCATATTACATAAAGTTTTTGGCACAAAAATCTACAGGGAAATCGGATACTATTTTGAACTGGAGGAAGCTGAAGTTAACGCAGGATCATTTTTGAACTGGAGGAGGCTGAAACACAGGTTTGACAGCCATTTCCTATAGCATTTGCCTAATTCCTCTTCTCCCCGTAAAAATATCAGAAATGCCGGTATGGTGAGGGGAGGTGGAATGCGTTTTCATTCAACCCTATCTCTCTTCCTTCAAGTCCTCGATAAAATCATAATCTTTTTCAGCACATAGAAAATGCAAACGAAAACTATGCTCCCATCACTTCCCTCATTTTCAATGGCTCCCACCACAAAATCACTTACAATGCATTCCGGGCAACCCTCAAAACACAGCCATCTGATGATAAAATTGGTTAGTTTTAAGCTTAACTTTGTTCACTAAAGTCACTTTTTTCGGAATTGTTCGAAGTTTGCACAGACTAGAAGGTGGAAGGCCTTTCCCGTTAACCCCATAACAAAATAAGATGAGACTTCGATTAAAAAAATTGTGGAAATTCCAGAACAACCCCTCAGGGTTCAAACATTCCATCTATATCACACGGGAATCCATGGCGGATCTTTCTTACAATTTCTGCCACTACCATCACAAGCACAGAAACAAGGAACTTTTAAATGCAATCATTAAGTGGGAAAAAAGGCCAAAAGTTGGGTGATAAAAAAGGAATAAATTTGAGGCCAAATCCTAATAAGCAGGGGCAGAAAGAAAATCAACATACGAGTATGGAACTTACCTGTAAAGTTTGAATTGTCGAATCACGTTGCTGTATCTGCAAGTTTTGATCTTGCTCCAATTGTAATAGTTGAGCAACTTGATTCCTTAGCTGGGCATTTTGATCTTTCTCTATCTTATGCTTATCTGAAAGCAAACTATTCTCTGACTGCATCAATTGAAGAAATTGAAGCACCTTAGTAACATGTTAGCCTGACTTGGCAAAAACGATTTGGCGGTCACACCCATGAGAATACTGCAATAAGGAAACTAAAAAGAACTCCACTGTACTTCTCCTCATTGTACTTCTGGTCGGATTTCTTTCCAACTCTTTGTATTTCTCTTCTTTTTCTCCTTAACAAAATTTTGTCTATCATAAAAGTTTAGATGAAGTATCACTTACACATCTTCTGGATAGTGTAAGTTGAAAGACAACAATTTGAAAATGAACAGGAATGCATCAGAAAATTAACAATGTAAGGTTTTTGGAGATTGATATTTAGAGAACATACTATTTAATAGGTAATACCAGCAATTGATTTACCATTCAAAAAATACACAAGTGCTACATAGCCATGCAGAAGCATTTCATTCTTTCCATCTTTGGGTATGCATCCTCACAGGAAAACATGAAGAACAAGCATACATAATATTAAAACTATTTTAAAATACTTAATGAACCACAAATTTATGCACAAATCATGATATTACTTTACCTTTAAATCTGACTGCAGCATAAAAGAAACTTTCCAAGCCTTCTGTACTTCATTGTAGAGTAGGACACACTGGTCATTTGCATTTTTAAGCGCTTGTTTTAATCCAATAATGTCTTGCTTCAAATCATTGGTTTCCTTCTCCTTTTCATACAATTCCTTACGTGCATCATTGGCCTATAGAATACATTTCAAAACAGGATTCAGCTGAAGAAAGTGCACACCACATATATTTGTACTCAAATGAATTATTGAACCATGCATAGCTTACGATTATTTGTTAGTGGTCTAATCAAGCTTTCAGTGAAGAGGAGACCTAATTTTTGTCTTCAATGACAATGGTGTGTTATGTGTAGAAGGGATTATGAGTGAGTGTGGATTATCTTTTTTGCATTGCCATTTGGCACAAAATTTGTGGAATAAACTTTCTGGTCTTGGGAATTTTTGTTGGGTCCTCCCAAGGGAAATGAATTCTATGTTTTGTTCAAATGATGTGGAGTTTGGGGGAAATAGAAAATGGAAGATTCTTTGGTACAATGCTTTCTTTGCTACTTTGTGGGTGATTTGGAAAGGAANTTTGTTGGGTCCTCCCAAGGGAAATGAATTCTATGTTTTGTTCAAATGATGTGGAGTCTGGGGGAAATAGAAAATGGAAGATTCTTTGGTACAATGCTTTCTTTGCTACTTTGTGGGTGATTTGGAAAGGAGTGCAAGGATTTTTTAGGATAAGTGTGAAGAAATTGAGAGACTATGGGATAGAATTCATTTTTTGGCTTCACTTTGGACTTCCACAGCGAAGAATTTTGAGGATATTCCTCTCTTTTCTATTAGAACAAGTTGAAGAGCTTCATGTTGCTTGTAGTCATTGTGTGGATTCCTTGTCCTCCATTGATTTGTTTCTTGTAAATGTTTTTTTATGATTATCAATAAAATGTAGTGTCTTATCGAAAAAAAAGCTTTCAGTGAAGACAAGTAAAAATAATACAAAAATAACAATCAAGAAGTCGATAATCATAACTTTATTCCATGCTTGAAGCATGGCAGGACAATATGCTATCAATGAAGAGATCTTACATGCCACCCATCAACTTACCAGTTGAAGTTGCTCAAAAAACAGGCACAAACTGATTAGTAAAAACTACTTTTACTGCCTAGAGTTGGAACCAAAGAAATTTAGCAGAACTTACAACGTCTCTCCATTTCTTAATTGTATCTCGATTTCCAAGGCTTAGAATAGCATTTCGAGCTCTGGCACAAAAATTGAGGGATGATAATGTCTTGGGCAAATTTGAAGCATTTGAACACACGTTAACAATCATCAAAGTTTTTGAGCTTCCACCTGCATGAAGAAGGATAAATAGTGGTGTAACATGTATATTCCACATAACAAAAGTACAGAACCGTATCGAAAGACCAAGTACATATACAATACAGATTGACCACTCCCCATGACAAGAGAAGAGATGTCAATTTTTATGGCAGTTTTATGGAAGTTATCCAGGTCTCCCTGACAAATTGTCACAAACACCAGTGACGCATAATGATGGCTGAAAGCACGGAATGTCGGAAGTGTGAGTTATACAAGAGATTTTAGGGGCTGACATTCATGAGTGGTGGCAACTCATCCTCAACAAATGCATGGAATGCTAGAAACATGGCTACAATACTTATCCTTCATTCTTTATAGCAAGGTTGGATAGAGAGATTAGGAGCTTCTTTTCAATATCACCTGAGCCGCCCCCCCCCCCCCCTGGCGGGGGGATATACAGTGGAAGAATGAGTTGCATGTTTTTTAATTCAGATTACAAGTGGAAGGAAACATCCTCACACTCTCTCCAGATTCTCGTTTCTGCTGAATCTGGGTAACAAAGGAATTCCATGAGTTTGATTAGTGATATCATTTTCCTTATTAGGGTGCATGCTGCTCTGCACAATGTTAGGTTCTTCTGGNGGGGGATATACAGTGGAAGAATGAGTTGCATGTTTTTTAATTCAGATTACAAGTGGAAGGAAACATCCTCACACTCTCTCCAGATTCTCGTTTCTGCTGAATCTGGGTAACAAAGGAATTCCATGAGTTTGATTAGTGATATCATTTTCCTTATTCGGGTGCATGCTGCTCTGCACAATGTTAGGTTCTTCTGTTTGTTGGAACACTACTTTTTGCTAGTGAGTATACCTTTTCATTTTAGTAGAGACACACTATAGTTCGTGTCCTGTGTTATTTTGTAAGAACAAAGCAAGAAAAGTACCAGCCCACTAACGCAGATAAATCTAACACGACGAGAATCTCTTTTCTTCTACCGCGACTCCAATATCATGGCACAATTGTTGATTCCTCTTGGCATGGACCAGACATAAAAGACAGATGTAGATTGTTTTTTTCCTTCTATTTAATCTCCATCTTTTCTTTGTCCCTCTATTGCTGTGTGGGTGTTTACCTGCCACTTCTCTGTGACTTAATATTTTCAGTGACTAATAACAGCAGTTATAAACTATGGCCTGAACCTAGTAGTGGATGCAGCCCTAGATACTACAGAAAAGGTACACCAGTAAATCCCATCCCATCTAAATAAATGAATAATTATCTTCCTTGGGCTGAATATCCAACCTATTGCTAAAACATCATCCTTATTTGAAAAAGACAGTTTGATTTTTCCATAAGATGAGAACTTATAGAAACTTTTTAGCCTCACATATATCATACACAGCACAAGAATATTAGCTTGGAATTTCAATAGACAAGATGTGGCACAATGGATTACCATGGTAACCATATCTTCAGAACTAGGTGAATTAATTTCTGTGGGAAGAGTTCAGGGAACATATTTGCTACTAGGACATCAAGACCACATTTTCTTTCTTTATTCTTTTCCTTAAGTTTAACTTCATTCTCTCCTTTTCACTAAGCTTTTTTGTGACCATTCGTCTATGATTTTGTTTTGCTTTCATTGAAAAAACACTTTTTTACATGCACCTTTATGCTTTCATTAAACAAGATACTTAATGTCTACTCTTCTTAAAGTTAAAAACCAACGTCATTTTACAATCATATTTTAACATAAAGGCCAGCTAGCTCAACTGGCGACCACAACTATATTCAAGTCACTGCCAGAGCACAAAACAGCATTCATTTACTGACAGTAACAGGTGATGACAAACAACTTTTATCATCTCCAACTCCAAGGAAAGAAAAAACCTGAAGTGCATTCTAATAGCACACTTTCTGTGGTAAAGTGCAATCTTATCTCATGCAACAAAAATAAAACCTTAAAAACAGAAATGAGTACCTAATGAGTCTGCAAGTACTTTTGTGAGCATTGAGTTTTCGTAAGGAACAGTATCCTTCTTTGATGTCAAGGAAGCCAAAACATCTCCCAACCTTCATATGCAACATCAAAAGAAGTGAGACGATAATTAAGGATGACAGTAAACTTGGAAACATGGAAACCCACGAGCCAAAACATTGCAGCTACACAGTGTAAACCATATAGCAAATTCAGAATCACGTACCAACAACAAACACTTTTTTGAAAGAGTAATAACAAGCAGTTCATGTTGTGACTTGTGAGTCTTAAATGTAATCAGTTGGTTCNGCTACTAGGACATCAAGACCACATTTTCTTTCTTTATTCTTTTCCTTAAGTTTAACTTCATTCTCTCCTTTTCACTAAGCTTTTTTGTGACCATTCGTCTATGATTTTGTTTTGCTTTCATTGAAAAAACACTTTTTTACATGCACCTTTATCCTTTCATTAAACAAGATACTTAATGTCTACTCTTCTTAAAGTTAAAAACCAACGTCATTTTACAATCATATTTTAACATAAAGGCCAGCTAGCTCAACTGGCGACCACAACTATATTCAAGTCACTGCCAGAGCACAAAACAGCATTCATTTACTGACAGTAACAGGTGATGACAAACAACTTTTATCATCTCCAACTCCAAGGAAAGAAAAAACCTGAAGTGCATTCTAATAGCACACTTTCTGTGGTAAAGTGCAATCTTATCTCATGCAACAAAAATAAAACCTTAAAAACAGAAATGAGTACCTAATGAGTCTGCAAGTACTTTTGTGAGCATTGAGTTTTCGTAAGGAACAGTATCCTTCTTTGATGTCAAGGAAGCCAAAACATCTCCCAACCTTCATATGCAACATCAAAAGAAGTGAGACGATAATTAAGGATGACAGTAAACTTGGAAACATGGAAACCCACGAGCCAAAACATTGCAGCTACACAGTGTAAACCATATAGCAAATTCAGAATCACGTACCAACAACAAACACTTTTTTGAAAGAGTAATAACAAGCAGTTCATGTTGTGACTTGTGAGTCTTAAATGTAATCACTTTTACCCAAAGAACTACAGAGTAAACAACACCAACTAAAAGGTAGGGGAAGATTCTGCATTAACTCGCAATGAATGAAACTACTTGGAAAAAAAGACAATGCAAGTTTAATTGCTGGAAAGACGCCTCGAAAAAATACAATATGAAGTAAAGCAGTGAGTCTTCAGTCCAAATCAGTACGTTATTAACTTGGCATTTTAGCAGTTGGTCTTGAATGTCCAGATTCTAGAAAGAAAAAAAAAACAATCTTTTTTTGTCATAAGCAACCACTATGCTAAAAGTACCACGTATTTCTCGAATAGCTAACAACAAATAAGCTAATGGATGCAGGATGTACGCTGAAAGTGATCTCATCACATGCAGTAAATCTGTTGCTCGCTCCCCACTGTCATCTTCTACGGCCAAAGTTTCATTTCCAGCCAAATCAATAAGAGAAAGCTTGCTATATAACTTTTCTCCGGTGATCAAATTGTTGTAATTAATATGGATGGTGATAATCCTGAGAACAGTAGAGCAAGACATAATCACTTGATTCACCAGCAAATTCCATAAAATAACATAACTATGCATATGGTGCTCATGTCATGATTCTTGAAACACGTAAATCTGGAAAAGGAGAAGAAATGTATATACATGGAGACTTTTATTGTTAAAAGAGTTCATTGTTTTTCTACTTTATGATTTTGTTTGCAATGAAGACACTATTAAGTTTTCTGTAACCAGCAACAAAACTCCAATAAACTAATTTGATGAATGAGCAGCATGAAACATCATTTTTATTATCTTCAAAGAACTTCCTTACAAAGTAAAATAGGTTTTTCATGCATATTACATTGTTAAATTCCCCTGATGAACCTAATTTTTTTGCACAGTTGAGTACCAAATGAGACACCACATGCTGAGGATTGATATAAAATACACATGCACTGTGCATACGGAAAAAATGAATTAAGTGGAACTCTCACGTCATCCGAGGATATAATTGGAATTGAATACTTCTGGTGGCTGATAAACTTTCAAGAATGATTTCAAGAGCATGGATTTCTGGCCATTAAAACTCAGATCATATCTAAAGCTATCAGGTCCTTTTTTTCAAATCATGCTAAACTGACCTCAGGCATGTAAAGGAAACAAAACACGGTGGTANATTTCTGGCCATTAAAACTCAGATCATATCTAAAGCTATCAGGTCCTTTTTTTCAAACTTTGCTTCTTTATTCTCGGTTATGAGTTATTATTAGTTAGTTATTTTATGTTTCTCAGGAGAGCAAATCATGCTAAACTGACCTCAGGCATGTAAAGGAAACAAAACACGGTGGTTACTTGACAACAACAGCAACAAAGGAGAATAAAGCCAAGGGATAGCTAAAGTCAAACATTTCCCAAAAAGGATTTCAAGGACAGATAAATATGGACCATACAGATGAGAAACAGTGAACTTCAATGTGTCAGTTCCTCGATTGTGAAATGCTACTTTGAGGACTCTTGAGAAATCCAAGGGATTGTCGACCTTTTCCTGCACAAGTTCAACAAAAGAATCCGGTGGCCCCAAATGGACCTTTGGCAGGCTCTTTCCACATTCTGAAAGTAAATCCCTTATCTACAAGAAATTGAAGGATGTCTACCATCAAAAATACGTCAACTCAAACTACATCCAACAAAAAAAATACATGGCAACTGTATGGCGTTCAAGTCTAGGAACCTGTTCTTTGTGAAGATCAACAACTGTGACAGAGAAACTAAATCGAGAAGTAGAAGTTGTATCTGAGTTGGCCAAATCAAAAAGCTCCTCAAAGGATCGCGCATATAAACCACGATCATGGCTGGAGCCTTCCTGAAAAAGGTGGAATAACATGGGCCATATTAATGTGAAACAAACAGCTCCACAAAATTTATATACTGTACTGCTTTATATAATTGAATTAACTTCATAAAACTCCAACACAAGTACGCCACTGTGCCATCATACCATTTGTAATGATAAATAGTGTATTCAATTTCTTTTGTAGGAAAAACAGCATGAGAAGATTGAGAAGTCGCAAACTCTCATGCACGGAATCATATTCAAAATTAATGCACACCAAAAGGCACATAAACTGATAGATTGACACCCAAACACACACAGAAACAGATACGCATATGCGCACACAGAAACAAACACACACACAATAGAGAGAGAGAAAGAGAGACCATTGTATAAGTCTTTCCTGAATTGGTTTGTCCATAAGCAAATATAGATACATTAAACCCATCCAAAGCCGACTGCACAAATGGCTGAACATCACCGAAAAGCTCAGCTGCGCCCACATAATTCCAAATAAATTAGTTAGGTAACACACCTACAATAAGCACAATCAGAGGAAGCGAAAGGAGAGTTTCCACATGGCACAACACTTTATCCAGTGGAAAAATAAATCAAGGAAAATATAGTCACCTTGTCCCACATGAGGTCCATAAACCCTGTCAAACTCAAAATCCTTCTTTGGGTTAGAGACATTATCATCACCAGTATTGATCCGAATTGTGAATTCATCAGGAAATTCAACAACAGAAGGACCTTCATCTTCAAAAAGTGGTCTCGTACGGCAAAACACCTTTACACTTCCTGAAGTCATTCAGTCACTGGCTTAACCTCAGTGAGGAAAATTTTAATTTGCTGTTGTGAAGGAAGAAAACTATATTCTTAAATAGACAGCGTGTGTACATGTGTGCCTGCTCATGTGTTGTGTGTGTGGGGGGGGGAGAGAGAGAGAGTACATTGAAAGGGTAAACTCACAGAAATTAGGGGTACCTTTGGCGGTCAATAACTCATTAAACAACTTTTTCTTCTCATGTATCAGTGGAGAAATTCTAGCTTCTGTTTCCAGAGCAGCCTGGTCTGAAATTAGACAGCATAATTTGTTGCTGAGAATAACATCTTAGGCATGACCAATGAAAATGTAAGGGAATAAAAAATAAAGGTTAGCGACATATTAAAAGATCCCAACTTCAAGGCATGTTCAGCATGCCTGCACAAAAAGTATAGCTTGAATTCCCTTGCTCTAAACAAAACTAGGAGAAGACTTCAGAATTTAACACACACTCAGTTCCCAAACATGAAATAGAGATGGTCCACAAGGAAATCCATAAAGAGCTACATCTATAGAAAAGCTCAGACAAGACAGACAAATTTCTGCAGAATAGCTGCATTAAGAAATCATTGGGGTAAATATCAAAATGTTTAACCAAATAGAACATTATTCTTTCAGAGTTGATGCTAATAATGGCACTAAACTCACTCCTTACCTAGCTTACGGGTCTTGTCCGCAAGAACACCAAGATAACGTGTCACTCGATCAAGTTTGGCATTGGAATATTCTTGTAGATCACTGGCTTCTTGTCTCAACTCCATGTAGTCTTCTCTGACCAGCTGTCCAGAAAATGTAATACAGCTGATTTAAATTAAAATATACAACTATTGAGGGGAATAAGAACTACATTTTCTTCACAAAGCAAAGTAATCACATGAGAAAAGAACTTATGAACCCATATGAATTTCATATAGAAATTAATATATTTGTCCTGAACAGATCGTCAGTAAACACGTTCACCTCCAGTATTCATTGCTTTTTTTCTTGGACATGAGGGTTTAGTGTTCACTGTCCTGAATTTAATTCTTTTGGTACTAGTAAATGGAATTTGCAATACACCACGGTTATTCAACAATTCTAGAATTCAGCAGTGATCAAAGCACTAGCCATGGGCGGTGAGAGGTTGCACTTAAAACACTACATGTCCAACATGCATCAAAGCAAGAATTTTACAATAATGCTAAGTTTTTGTTAGTGTAATATTCCTTCATGCTAATTTTCATCTGTGTGTCATGGCATCCTTCAATTAATAGTAAGAAGTTAACAAATTATTCATATAGGACAATAAGATCCATGTAAGAGTTGCGACAAGGTTTTGTTGAGTTGAGTTAACAAATTATTTACTCGGTCATAATTGAAAATTGTTTCTATACATTCAAACTAAAATACCAAGGATTCTCACTAGAAAAGTAAACCTGTTGAGACTAACTTTGCATGGTCAAGTTTAGAAGATTCTCTTTTCGTGATCTTTTAAATTTTCAGAACCTTCTTATTTAATAAAAAAAGACTTTTGGAACCTGTTAAACAGCCATCTATTTTAAAAATTTACGCTGACAAAGGATGTAACTCAAGTATTTTAAAAAAAAAATTATAACCTGTTAAACAACCACCTATTTAAAAACTTAGGCTGACAGAGGGGGTGTAACTTAAATATTTATACTTTGCCCCCGGGCCTATCACATGAAAAGCTTTAATCATTGGGATAGTGACGACATTCAAACGCAAAACCTCATGCTCTAGTACCATGTTAAAAAACATCTACTTTAAAAGTTAAGATGTTAGAAAGGTTATAATTTAAATATTTATACTTCAACAGAACCTCCAGCCTAATGAAACAAAGTTCATGCACATCTTGGCCATACCTTACGGTTCCCTTTTATTGTATTTGGCAGCCACTACAATGGCAGCATATAATATCTTCAAAGAAACATAAGACTAGTATAACTTCTTATCTTGGATTAGTATAACTTATTATCTGGAAAAAACTACTAAATCTGAGAAAGATCTGTTTTCAAAGAAACTCATACGGCCCACGATAGTGTTTCCATAACTGCCACAGCAAGTATATACAAGAATGCCTATTTTTTGGCAACCTTCTCATACCCTGAATTCCACCAAAAAATACTATTGAATTTGAAAATTAGTATTCTGCGAAAGATTCTCCTAAAGTTTCTTGTTTCCTTCTCCCAACCCGACCCCATGAAAATTCTCCAATATATTCAAGCTCCATCAAAAACCAGCATTCCCATACTTTCCTCCAACAGCTCCTCCATAAACAATTGTTCTCCATAGTGAATATGAATAACAAGTGCATCAACTATGTTCCGTTGAACTAGAAAAGCTCCTACTAACCAAACACCCATCCTTGAAAAGAAGAATGAAGTCAATGAACAGCATCTCATTCAACCAAATGTCATTTAATCATATCACCTAAACTCCCATCTCTCTCCCTCCCCCTCCCCCCCCCCTTCCCAAAAAAAAAAAATAGAAAGTTTAGAAAAAAAAACTAATGTAGGGNCCCAACTCCCCCCCCCCCCCCCCCCCCCCCCCTCCCCAAAAAAAAAACACTAAACCAAAAAACAAAAGAAAAAGACTAAAAATAAAATGAGGTTCCTCTTTTTTGATAAGTAAACAAAATGATGTTCCTCTGGATTCCGAAGTCTCAAAGATTGAAGCAAGGACCAAAAAACAGATACGAGTACACCCTAAGACTAGAGTGGGTGCCCTACAAGAATTTTAGCATGTTACTTGAATAGAGACTCTATTCAATCTAGTTAATCTTCTCCCAAACCTGTCCACGGACAAATGACAGATTGCTTTGCGATAAAAGCCCAAGATAATAATACTTCCCCGACCTCTTACAACCTCCAAGTAAAGGCTACAAGCTCTCATGCTAATGTACAATGACATCCTCTTCGCTGCTCAACTCCTCACCATTAATAACCACTTTCTTTGTTATTGGCCCCATGCACCGGCAAGTTTACAAGAAATCTTGGTGCTCCAGCCCAAACCTCCTAAATTCTAACTCAAGCACCACTTTTACCAAAGCAATCCTCTCTAGCTATCTTTTCTCTTCTTTTTTCCCGCTCCAAGTCAAACCACCCCTCCATTCTAATGTATCAATTATCCAATCACAACATTTTCCAAACAGGTTTGTATTTGCACGTTTAACTTACCAACNTAGCTATCTTTTCTCTTCTTTTTTCCCGCTCCAAGTCAAACCACCCCTCCATTCTAACGTATCAATTATCCAATCACAACATTTTCCAAACAGGTTTGTATTTGCACGTTTAACTTACCAATAAAACCAACTGTTTCAAATCCATTAAAGGGGAGCTTGATTTCTAAATCTTAGCATAGCAGCTCTCAATTCTATAATCCACCACCCATCACGTACACTTCCCAACCTTATCGTGAGAACTATACACAATCCCCCACGATTGACACAAATAGGCATATGGTCTAACACCAGCAGAGGAAGGTATCCTCATGTACCATCAAAGTAATGCTCCTCCTAATCCACCAAAATCAGAAGTTCAACAAAACTCGATGCTAACTCGTAGTCAAGGAACTTCCCACATTAATAGCACTCAAAAAGCAAACAAAGTACTTCTCCATCCACAAGTTGAAGAACCTCCGATGCATCTCCAACCCACAAATTCTATCCATAGCTCACTCCTAGTCAAATCTTCACCTTAAAATAATTTAATAGAACACAACTTCAAACACACCATAAATTGCAAATTTCTAGACAAGCAAGGCAGAAAAGCGGCTTTTATCTCATCATCAACCTTAACAACTCCTTTATGAGCATTGCACCCATAATGGCCACTACTTCTTGAAACAGCAAAACCAGTCGAGCATATTCCTCGATGGCAGACAAACAATCAGCAAAAATTATCCAACATGAGTGCAAAATTACCATGGCTCTTCACCTACTTTATCACATCCTCAATCTTATCATGAAGCCACTTATAGTCTCTCTCGACTAGGTTCCTATTTCACTTAAACCTTAATGCTCATCTCAAAACTGGATTGGATTTGGATGGCTTATCCACTTGCCGCATATCTTCTCTAATATTTTCTCACTTACTAGCCTTACCTCAGGTTTTCTTAACAGTTAGCTACCAAGCATTCCAGGAAACTAATATATCTCTGATTTGAGGTATCCTAAACAGCTGCTTAATAAAAGAAATTGCCCCACTTNCCACGGACAAATGACAGATTGCTTTGCGATAAAAGCCCAAGATAATAATACTTCCCCGACCTCTTACAACCTCCAAGTAAAGGCTACAAGCTCTCATGCTAATGTACAATGACATCCTCTTCGCTGCTCAACTCCTCACCATTAATAACCACTTTCTTTGTTATTGGCCCCATGCACCGGCAAGTTTACGAGAAATCTTGGTGCTCCAGCCCAAACCTCCTAAATTCTAACTCAAGCACCACTTTTACCAAAGCAATCCTCTCTAGCTATCTTTTCTCTTCTTTTTTCCCGCTCCAAGTCAAACCACCCCTCCATTCTAACGTATCAATTATCCAATCACAACATTTTCCAAACAGGTTTGTATTTGCACGTTTAACTTACCAATAAAACCAACTGTTTCAAATCCATTAAAGGGGAGCTTGATTTCTAAATCTTAGCATAGCAGCTCTCAATTCTATAATCCACCACCCATCACGTACACTTCCCAACCTTATCGTGAGAACTATACACAATCCCCCACGATTGACACAAATAGGCATATGGTCTAACACCAGCAGAGGAAGGTATCCTCATGTACCATCAAAGTAATGCTCCTCCTAATCCACCAAAATCAGAAGTTCAACAAAACTCGATGCTAACTCGTAGTCAAGGAACTTCCCACATTAATAGCACTCAAAAAGCAAACAAAGTACTTCTCCATCCACAAGTTGAAGAACCTCCGATGCATCTCCAACCCACAAATTCTATCCATAGCTCACTCCTAGTCAAATCTTCACCTTAAAATAATTTAATAGAACACAACTTCAAACACACCATAAATTGCAAATTTCTAGACAAGCAAGGCAGAAAAGCGGCTTTTATCTCATCATCAACCTTAACAACTCCTTTATGAGCATTGCACCCATAATGGCCACTACTTCTTGAAACAGCAAAACCAGTCGAGCATATTCCTCGATGGCAGACAAACAATCAGCAAAAATTATCCAACATGAGTGCAAAATTACCATGGCTCTTCACCTACTTTATCACATCCTCAATCTTATCATGAAGCCACTTATAGTCTCTCTCGACTAGGTTCCTATTTCACTTAAACCTTAATGCTCATCTCAAAACTGGATTGGATTTGGATGGCTTATCCACTTGCCGCATATCTTCTCTAATATTTTCTCACTTGCTAGCCTTACCTCAGGTTTTCTTAACAGTTAGCTACCAAGCATTCCATGAAACTAATATATCTCTGATTTGAGGTATCCTAAACAGCTGCTTAATAAAAGAAATTGCCCCACTAATTACACAAGCAACAAATCTCATTGGTTATTGATAAATCATTCTTTAAAAGCTATTCTCATATGAGTAGACATGGTGCAAGCCTGCCCACCAAAGCTAGAAAGGAGATGGACTTATTTTACTTGGAGCATCAAAGCAAATAAAACCTCAAAAGATTCTAAGCACTTTAAGAAGCAAGAAAAAGGTGAGAGACAAAAAGTCTAGGTAATCACAGGAATTAACAGGAAGCAATAAAGTCCTCCACCCCACCCCCTGGCCCAAAAAAAA